GAGATTGAGACACAATGATTCCACAAGTCATCACTCTTCTTCAAGTATTCTGTTTCGTGGGCAATTAACATGGGTTTATCTGCAATATATTTAATAAGTGTATCGTGACACATTTTCCCTTCTTTGACGAGATCGTTGCAGCAAGGATCAGAGATGGTACCAATTTCAAAGACAACAGCAATTATATCCAACGCACACTTAGGAGTGATTTTAATAAGACAAGTATTCCATAATGATTTTGCTTCAGCTTCTTCGACTGAGAAAACCGGAACAAACGCACACACCAAAGCTACAACGATGAATAGCGTAGTAATCTGAGAGCTAAATTTAGACATATCTACTTACGCTTAAAATATACAAGAATTATTCTTATTTTATGAAAAACAAATGTAAGAAACAATGATTTGTATTTGTCATTTGAAACATGAAATTATCTAACCTATATATAGGTCATTGAAATTAAAACGTAACTATAAAAAAACTATAAAGTTAACGTAATATTTAATGGCAATTAAAAATTTTGACAAAAAAAAATACTACAAAACTTAAAGTTAATGGTTTCTATCAACGTTTCAAATATAACAAAAAAAAACTAAATACAAGTAACGATAACCAATTCAATATAAGAAACAGATGATTAATTTTATCTTATTTCGATATCCTAAACCAAATTATTAATGAGTATGAGGTTCAAATTGACATATATAGTTTTAAGCCAAATAAATTAAAAGGACTAACTATTTATTAGTATAAATATAATTAATTATGAAAATTTTAAAAGCCTAACTCATATTGTATATGAAAACTATTATTTTATTTATATAAAAAATCATTTTTCTCACAATACTTTTAATTTAAATGACTAATAAATGTTAGTAAAAGTGTATTCGACATACAGTTTATTCCAAGGTTTTAAAAGTTTTTATATGCTGATATTTAATCCACAAGAGAAAATAAATGGTTTTAGAATATCAGATATAGTTTTGTTAATAGATATATGTTAAAATATCAACTATTATAACTAAACAATAGCGCTATTATATAATAGTATATTTAGAAACATATCATATAAAATTGCATATTAGTTAAAAATTATATAAACAAATAACCCAAAATGGTGAAACATCCAGCTTTTCAAAATTCCCTCCAAATGGCCAAACTCAAATTCGTGCCAAGCTGACGAGCTGGATTGTCCAACTAAACAAAAGGAGGGGGATACTTACTGTTTCGACATGGGTTTCGCCCCATCCAAAAGTCTGACCCAAATCGAATTAAGCCCACAAAAAAAAAGAGTTTGGGCTTGGTCCATCGTGATATCTTGGTCTATTAAGCATCACCCACTTGCAAAGGGCAAAAGAGGTAAATTATACGGCCTTGTGACCGCTTATTTCCCATATGTTTGACCCGTGCTCTGCACGGGCGAAAATAGCATTAGTTTCTCTATTGAAGATATATTGCAAGGTAAAAGAAAACTAATTTCATAGTCGGGATGAGAAACCTAGTTATTGTGTAAATTAGAAGGAAACAAAATCTTTGAAATTTTTTAAAAAATTTTATTTCGAGAAAAGTTGCAGGAAAACATAATTTAAAAAAAAAAAGATGTGGAAGTTTTTTTTATTTTGTAGGGGAAGCAAGAGATCTTTTGTGTTTGGTGGGGGGAGGGGTGATAGGGAAAAGTCAATATTGATTTTAATAGTAAATTAGTGTAAAAAAAGCACAAAGTGAAAGTACATAATTTAAGACTTAAGACACGTGGTTGAAGGATAAGGGTGCAGTTATTAGAGAAGTGACTTGTGATTTATTAAATAAGGATATTAAATAAGGATATAGAAACATATCATATAAAATTGCATATTAGTTAAAAATTATATAAACAAATAACCCAAAATGGTGAAACATCCAGCTTTTCAAAATTCCCTCCAAATGGCCAAACTCAAATTCGTGCCAAGCTGACGAGCTGGATTGTCCAACTAAACAAAAGGAGGGGGATACTTACTGTTTCGACATGGGTTTCGCCCCATCCAAAAGTCTGACCCAAATCGAATTAAGCCCACAAAAAAAAGAGTTTGGGCTCGGTCCATCGTGATATCTTGGTCTATTAAGCATCACCCACTTGCAAAGGGCAAAAGAGGTAAATTATACGGCCTTGTGACCGCTTATTTCCCACTAGTGTTTGACCCGTGCTGTGCACGGGCGAAAA